TATGGAAATATACCTTCTGCTGCTCTGCAGCCTTGTGCTTCTTCCATGGTCCTCTTAATTTCTAAAATTTCTAAAACTTCCTAAACCTTTCTTTTTCATCCCTAAAAATTCCTGTTTCAATATTAAGTCTGTTAACGTAAAAAACCATTGAAACCTGTAAAGAATTTTTGTGAGTTTATTTGAGCCAAACTGTCTACCGGGAAGCAGAACCTCAACGAATTGAAATAGTGCTCTGGAGAATGGCAGGGTTACATCCATATTTATACATGAAATTCATTGGTGACAGATTTAAGGAGGTGGGATTAAGCAAAGTGGGGAAACCTCTGGGATAGGACAAAAAGTAAAATGATGGACACATACTTAGGTGGGTGCAGGAACAATTAACATGACAAATGAAAGAATCTGCTGCATCTGTCCTGGGCCCAGCACACCTGGCCATTCCCCAGGGGCTCCAGGTACAGGGAAATCACAAGTTACCCAGACATTTCAAGGGTATGTTATCATAGATGCAAAAAGACAGATATGCTCAGTTACAGTAAAGGTTGACCTTATCAGTGAAGATACCGGCTTAGGACGTAACTGCCCACCATAACTGCTTTTAGTTAAGGTTTAATTTCAGACCATCCTTTGTGGTTACTTTAGGTCTCCGAGTTTGCAAAACTGCCATGCAGGCCTCCCCTGAGCTTGTCAGGTCAGCATGTGGCCCCTTTCGTCCACAAGTCAATATATCAATTGGGAGAACAGTCATCTTAAAAATAGGAAGATTCCAAGAGTTCTAGTTCAAAATTGTGACATAAGAGATTCCTGAACTTCTCTCACTGCCACACCCAATATACAGCTACACTCATTATTCCCTCTGAAAGAAATACAGAAACAAGCTGAGTGACTCTTAAACATCAAGTAATAAGGGAAAAAAAAACCTTTGAAATGAATAGGAAAAGCTGAGACAAAATCTTGTCATAAACCACCAGTTCAGTGACACACAATGGGAAGGAAATTCACTACTCCCATATTCTCACTGAGGAACGGATGGTTTGGACTCCACGTCTTGCACCCAAACTTTTAAGACTTCCAACTGAGAGGTGACACCCTAACACATCTATCCCTAAAAGGCAATTTTACTTGTATCCACAAGACCCACAAGGAAATAGCAAACTAAAATATAATTCTTAACTGGGTCCTGTGCACTCATCCTTCAGGGCTCTATTTCAGGGCCCAGCACAGAGGCAGCAGGCTAAACTAGTCTTTCAATGAAAGAGGCCATTTTTTTGTTTTAAATGCTGTGGCCTGTGGACAGGCTTCTAATTTAATAGACATATAGGGGATGACTACAGTGCTCTCTAGAGACTGGGAAGGTCAGGAGGTGCCATATCTTTGCACCCTCCCTCTGCCTCACTCTATCTTCTAAAAAGGTGCTTGTGTATATGTCTGGTATTCTAGCTTTCTGGCTGCTATTCAGAGGATGCACCCTTGGTGGCCAGCAGGGCCGATGTTCGTGACTTCCACAGTACTGTAATAACAACAACAACAAAGATTCTTAACTAGCTATCCCCCCCCAAGGCTAAGTACAGAGGCCTCAGACTGAAAGCAATCTTTCAATGAAAGCATCTATGTGCGGATCTTAAAAGAAGCAGCCTAAGGGTAAGGCTTCTAATTTAACACACATCTAGGGTCCTCTCCAGTGAATGGGGAGACTAGCAGGGATATAATTATAACAGTGTATTGTTCATTTAGCCACTGCTTCAAGAGTATATCTTAAAAGCTCTCATTGCAAGAAAAAAATTGTGAATATGTGTCATAATGGATGTTAACTATACTTGTAGTAACCATTTTGCAATACAGTAAAACCTCGATTTTGAGGGCCTTGATTTAATGGACAAAATTTCTGGTCTGTATGTCATATCTGAAAATTAACACCCAGTTAATTTTAAAATGCTTTTAGCCAAGATTTGCTTATAATTATATTTTCAGGTTAATTTTTGTTAGTAATTCATTGTTATTTTTAATAAATTTTAGCAAATAATCCATATGTTGGAAAAAATACTGTATGGCCCACATAAATAAATATTACATATCTACATATTAATCTTTTTAAAGTTTTTAAATTTTTAAAAATATGGTTTTATTTTATTCTATTTTTTAAAGACAGAGGGAAGGAGAGGGAAAGAGAGATAGAAACACCAATGACAGAGAAACATCAATTGGCTGCTTTCTGCTTGCCCACTACTGGGGTCCAGCTGGCAACCTGGGTGCATTGGGATGATGCTCAACCAACTTAGCTATACTGACCAAGCATAGTCTACATATTTAAATCCAAGAGTTACCCCTCCTAAATAATGTTCAGCAATTGATTAGCATGTAATCATACTGCATTATTGTGGTAATTAGTTCTGTTGCCACATGGCATGACTTTCTGCAGCAGTTTTAACTCATGCTGATATTCAAATGTGCGCTAAGCCATGCCCCAGCTATGTGCATTTGTTTACTTGTGGTGACTGGTGAATGCATGCATTTACTAGACCTATTCAGTATAAATTTAAAATTACAGTAACACATGTAGAAAGTTTCCTGTGAAATTAAACGTTTCATACATACTTACTTTTAATTACACAAATGTGTCTACATAAATAAAAGCAGGTAAACTAATTTGTCAATTTTTTAACATACACATTCAGAAAACCTACTTTATTATATAATGGATTTTCATCTTTAATGAATACACCCTCATTCAAATTAGTCCATTATATTGAGGTTTTACTGTTTATACATATATCAAACTATTCAATTATACATGAAAACTAATACAATGCTATGGGTCAATTATATTTCAATAAATAATAAGTAGGGATGTTCTAATTCATGAACATTGAATTTTTTATTTATTTAGATCAGCAACTTTCAACTGGTGTGCCACAGCACACTGGTGTTCTGCAAGAATTTTTAAAACATGCAATACCTGACTATTTAATAAGTGGAACTAACCTCTTTTTTCCTTAGATTGTCAAATAACAAAATGGCAATAGTCAACACAATTATAGCTGTCTGTTGTGAATGCGTCTTGAACCATAAATATATAGGTCATTAGTTGCATCTTATTGGTAATGTTGCATAATAAGGTTGCATCATATTGTTTAATTCATAGTACCAGAAATCCTTATTTACAAGTATGTGCACCTGATTTTTTTTTTAAAGTCACTTTGGAGCAAAGGGGTTGATTTTTCTGTAAATCAATAAAAATTATACATTTTTTAAAAATCCTTTATTGTTTAAAGTATTACATATAGTATTTTTCTCCTTTTTTCCCCATTGGCCACCCTCACCCTCCAGCACATGCTCCCACCCCCCTAGTGTCTGTGTCCATTGCTTACACCTATATGCATGCATACAAAGCCTTTGGTTGATCTCTTACCCCCTCAACCCCACTCTTCCTTGCCTTCCCTCTGAGAACTGATGGATTGTTTGATGCTTCTATGCCTCTGGATCTATTTTTGTTCATCAGTTTATGTTGTTCATTATATTCCACAAATGAGTGAGATCATGTGATATTTATATTTCTCAGACTGGCTTATTTCGCTTAGCATAATGCTCTCCAGGCCCATCCATGCTGTTGCAAATGATAAGAGTTCTTTCTTTTCATAGCAGCACAATTTACAATAGCCAAGATTTGGAAACAACCCAAGTGCCCATCAGCAGATGAGTGGATTAAAATTATACATTTTTAAGAAAAAAATTATTTTTATTGATTTCAGAGAGAAAAGGAGAGGGAGAGATAAAAACATCAATGATGAGAGAAAAATCATTGATCGCTGCCTTCTGCATACCCCCTACTGGAGACTGAGCCTGCAACCTGGGCATGTGCCTTCAACCAGAGTCAAACCAGGACCCTTCAGTCTGCAAGCCGACACTCTATCCACTGAGCCAAACTGGCTAGAGTGGAATTACACCTTTTTTTGTCAGATAGGAAAAAAATATATTTTTGTCAGGGGAGTGAAGGCATGAAGGGGGGTGGGGTTTGCACTGGGGGGAATAAGAACACAAATATAATACCTTAATCAATATGTGTGTGTGTGTGTGTGTGTGTGTGTGTGTGTGTGTGTGTGTGTGTGATGAGATGAAAAAGGTTGAAAACCACTGATTTAGGTTTTTATTTTCCTCAGCAATGTTTTGTAACTTTTAGTATAAGTCTTTTTCCTTGGTTAAATTTATCACTATATCATTCTTTGCAATGTTATTGAAAATAAAATTATTTCTCTGATTTAGTTTTTGGATTATTCAGTTCTCATATATAGAAGTAAAACTGAGTTTTGTTTTATGTGCCCAGCAATAAAATTTTATTCACTTGTCTTTTAACTAGTTAATTGAAGAAAAGAGTAAAAAATGTATATAGTGTCATTTATATTTATTGATATAATTACCTACAAGCTATTTTTTATATCTTCATGTAGATATGAGTTACCACCTGGTATCATTCTGTTTCACCTGAAGTATTTCCTTCAGTAGTTCTTTAAGACATGTTTGCTAATATAACAACAAAATTTCTTAGTTGCTTTTTACCTGGGAATGACTTTGTTTAACTTTATTTTTAATAATAATTTTTCTGGGTATAAAAATCTTGGTTGTGAATTTTTGTTTTCAGCACTTTGAAAATATCATTCCACTACCTTTTTTCTCCACTCTTTGTAATGATAAATCAGATGTTAATCTTTTTAATAGCTTTATTGAGATATAATTCACATATAATTTACTCATTTAACATGTGAAATTCAGTGGATTTTAGTACACATTCACAGAGTTGTGCTTTCATCACCACACTTAATTTTGGAACATTTTAATTATGGGGGGAAAAACAACCTCCACAACCCTTAACCATTACCCTCCAATCTTCTAATACCTCCAATTTTTTTAAACATTTTACTGCTATTGGCAACTAACTCACTGTGTATTAAAAGTAATTTTAAACAATCCATATTATATCTAACATATTTTCTAAATATTTCTAGGCGAAACTTATGAAGACTTTTCACCCCATATGACTGAAAGTTCAAAAGCATTTAATACAAGACCTAGGGCTAAGTCAAGCATTTATAAAGGCATCCGTTTTCCTTCACTGAAAAAAGAATCTCCAGGTAATTATTAATATTTTAGTGTAAAATATGACTTTTTACATTAATAAAGTTTTAATTATGAAAACAATTAGATTGTATTATCTGTAGTAATACTATAGTTTAGCAAAACATAAGTGGAAGTAAATGTATTCTTAGTGGATGATTAGTGTCCCTGTCATGGCTCTTCCTTCCCCACTATCACTAAATTGAAACTCCATTTTTCCTTTCCTGCAACATAGCTTTCTTGCACTATGATAGATAGTGCAGATGACTGAGATAAACTCATTTTATAATTCTCTTCCTTATATGTTTCTCTTTTATGTCCATCTAAGATAGGTTCTGCAATATAAAGACTTAACATGAAGACTAGTGGGAAGAAAAATAAACATTATGTTCATTTTTCCCTTTCCCTTCATTACCATTTCCTCAGCCATCTAATCCACTAATATCTAACAACTTATTTACAGACCCTACTTATTATGCATTGCTCCAGGAGCATTACATAAACATTACCCTAGTGCATTTCCTACAGATATTGAATGAGAACTTTTTAAAAATGTAGATGATTTTTCTTTGATCTATTATGTTCTCTAAAACCCAAAATCTATAATAAAAGTGTAATATGCTAATTAGACTGGACAGCCGAACGACTTTCCGGAAGACCTTCCAGACGAAGCCAAGGCTGTGAGGGCCAAGGCAAGCTGCCACAGCTGTGAGGGTGGAGCTCCTTGCACGAATTTCGTGCATCAGGGCTCTAGTAATTATATCAATACTTTTGCCAGTTTTTATTCTAACTCTGCCTCTCTTATTATCATGTCTATTAGCTATATTTTACATTTTACTAATCTATGTTTTACAGGTTTGGGCAAAAGTAGGTTTACAGTAGTGAGTATACAAAAGTTTATTCTCAAATTATTATGTATTAATTATTGTACTATTTTCCGTACAAATAACTGTAAAACTACCTTTGCTGCACACCCTGTATAATTCAGAGATAAGTTAAATTTGACTGTTAATTAAAGTAATATATAGTGGGCAAACAAACCTGCAAAATTAAAAAATAATTATAATATGCCTTTATGTTTAAATAAGCTATATTCTTCTTCCTACTAACTGCTAGATAGTGAAATAAGAATCTTTTAGCATATTTTCGAAAAATGTAATTGATTTTAGATTCACCAGCCATTTTATATCACATACGTACAATACTGCTTTCTATTTATGTAGCTCCTACTTTTATCTACAATTTTGGTTTTCTCTTCTAAGCCTTCTCTTTGACAGAGATATTAATTATAAGTAGTAATATTGTCTAACAAAACAAAAGGAAGAGAGTAAGAACTAACAAATAATCTACTATCCAAATTTTTACTCCATAATTAGAGAACAATAATAATGATATTTTTTTGTGTGGTGTGGATTAAATGAAAATGATGATACATACATATTTCTATTTTCCATCATAAGTTTTTAATCTAAAAGTAATGGCAGATAAACATTTTTAAATAAACATATGTCTTAAAAATTGAAAAGTTGAATGATCTATTTCTTTGCAAGACATGCATTATGAAAATTCAACGCATTAACACATAAAAGATAGTACTTTTTCACGTTATCGCTGAAAAAGTATTTTCTAAATGCCCATATTCTGCTTTTTGTATTGTATTTTTCCCTAAATGAGCATGTTCAAAATATTTTTATTATTGTGTAGTTTATAACAATCTAAAAATATGTATTTTTACAATAGCATTTCTAAGCATCACTCCTTCCATTATACACTAAATTTTTTACTATGGGAATGTAAATTTCTTTTTAAATAAGTATATGTTATTGCAAATAGAAATAACAATTTTATCTGATGATTTACTTATTGAGTTGTTAAAGTGTTTTATTTTCCTACTATAAAAAAGTTCCTTTTTCTGACATTTTTATTTACAGAATATCTTTTTCTTGATTTGCATTCTTACTAGTTATGTTCATAAATATCAAGTACTAACCAAGGAAAAATCAGAGAGAAAATATTTTTATTAGTAAAGCTATGTTATCTAAATTATTAGAAAAACATAAGGAAGTTATGGTTTAGAAGTGGATTAAAATTTATTTTTAGCTTTTTAAAGGTTAAAATTAGGTCATTTCTAGGGTACTTTATTAATAATATTTTCATTTTTTAGTGCATCCAAAAAAATCAATCTCAAAGAAAAAAGATGTTGAAGTGACAAATACTCTGCCTGCTGTGATCTCTAAACCAAGGAAATCTATCTACAAAGGTAAAAGAATCAGTGCTATACAATATATGAAATAAAGCATTATACTCTTTTTATAGTCTCTATTTACTAATAACCTCAAAACTGTGGACCCCTTTCCCAGACAACCAATCTTATGAGCCAAGATATTTTCCCAAACTTTTCTTCAAACTTGTGTGTGTGTTTTCTAGTTATACAATAACTAGAGGCCCAGTGCACAAAATCAGTGCACTGAAGGGAGGGGGCGGCTCAGCTTGGTCTGTGCCCTCTCGCAATCCAGAAGCCCTTGGAGAATGTCTGACTGATGGCTTAGGTCCACTTTATAAGCCAGCAGTCGGACATCCTTAGTGCTGCTGTAGAGGCGGGAGAGGCTCCCACCACCATGGCTATACTCGCCAGCTGTGAGCCCGGCTTCTGGCTGAGTGGCATTTTTTTTGTGGTAGCGCACTGACCACCAAGGGGAAGGTCCTGCATTAAGTGTCTGCTCCTTGGTGGTCAGTGCATGTCATAGTGACTGGTCATTCCACCGTTCAATCAATTTTCATATTAGCCTTTTATTATAGAGGATAGGATTATATGCATGGATCCTCCTTACCTCTGATCCAGGTATATGGATATAGATTTTTTTTTATCTTTCACACCTTTCAATTATTGCATAATATTTTTTCTTTATTGATGAAGGTATTACATATGTGTCCTTATTGCCCCATTGCCCCCCCACCCCCATCCCTCCACTCATTCCCTCACCCCCTGGTGTCTGTGTCCATTGGTTAGGCTTATATGCATGCATACAAGTCCTTTTGTTGATCTCTCCCACTTACCCCACCGTCCCCTAACTTCCCTCTGAGGTTTGATGGTCGGATCAATGCTTCTCTGTCTCTGGATCTATTTTTGTTCATCAGTTTATGTTGTTCATTATATTCCATAAATGAGTGAGATCATGTGATATTTATCTTTCTCTGACTGGCTTATTTTGCTTAGCATAATGCTCTCCAGTTCCATCCATGCTGTTGCAAGTGGTAAGAATTCCTTTTTTACAGCAGCATAGTATTCCATTGTGTAGATGTACCACAGTTTTCTAATCCATTCATCTGCTGATGGGCACTTAGGCCGTTTCCAAATTTTAGCTATGGTGAATTGTGCTGCTATGAACATAAGGGTGCATATATCCTTTCTGATTGGTGTTTCTGGCTTCTTGGGATATATTCCTAGAAGAAGGAGTATATCTGGGTTCTCTATTCTATTCCATTGATCACTGGGTCAAATGGGAGTTCCATTTTTAGTTTTTTGAGGAAACTCCATACTGTTCTCCACAGTGGCTGCACCAGTCTGCATTCCCACCAGCAGTGCCGCATCCTCTCCAGCACTTGTCATTTGTTGATTTGTTGGTGATAGCCATTCTGACAGGTGTGAGATGGTACTGCATCGTCTTTTTGATTTGCATCTCTCAAATGATTAGTGACGTTGAGCATGTTTTCATATGTCTCTTGGCCTTCCTTATGTCTTCTTTCGAAAAGTATCTATTGAGGTCCTTTGCCCATTTTTTGATTGGATTGTTTATCTTCCTTTTGTTAAGTTGTATAAGTTCTCTGTAAATGTTGGAGATTAAACCCTATCAGTGATAACATTGGCAAGTATGTTCTCCTATGCAGTGGGCTTTCTTGTTGTTTTATTGATAGTTTCTTTTGCTGTGCAAAAGCTTTTTATTTTGATGTAGTCCCATTTGTTTATTGTCTCTTCAGTTTCCATTGCCCTAGAGCTGTATTGGTGAAGAAATTGCTTCAGCATATGTCTGAGATTTTGCTGCCTGTTGATTCCTCTAAGACTTTTATGGTTTCCTATCTAATGTTTAAGTCTTTTATCCATTTTGAGTTTATTTCTGTGTACGGTGTAAGTTGGTGGTCTAGTTTCATTGTTTTGCATTTATCTGTCCAATGTTCCCAATACCATTTATTGAAGAGACTGTCTTGACTCCATTGTATGTTCTTGCCTCCTTTGTCAAATATTAATTGAGCTTAGTGGTTTAGGTTGATTTCTGGGTTCTCTATTCTATTCCATTGATCTGTATGTCTGTTCTTGTGCCAGTACCAGGCAGTTTTGAGAAGAGTGGCTTTGTAATACAGCTTGATATCTGGTATTGAGATCCTACCTACTTTGTTCTTCTTTCTCAGGATTGTTGCAACTATTCGGGTGCATAATATTTTACAATATGAATGTGCTATTCAACCATTTCTCTATTGAATGATATTTATAATTTTTACCAATTTTGTTTTACTCAAAGGCCAGTTTTGCTTCTGATTAGAGCATTGGCCCTCAGACCAAATGGTCATGGGTTCGATTCCCAGTCAATGGCACATACCTTGGTTGCAGGCTAGATCCAACCTAGTCTGGTGCTTGTGGGAGGCAACTAATCAATGTGCCTCTCTCACATCAATGTTTCTCTCTCTCTCTCTCTGTCTCCCCCTCCTCCCTCCCTAAATTCTCTCTTTAAAAAAAAAATCAATGGAACATGTATCCTCTGGTGAGAATTTTTTTTAAAATTAGTTTTACTACTACAAGCAATGGCGCAATAAATATCATTGTGTCTATATATTTATACTGTGGTAATTATATTTCTATAGGCCATATAAACTGGAATTGCTGTATTAAAGGGTATATATGTCTTTATTTTAATATATACATATTGACAAATTATTTTCTAAATGACTTTAGTTAATAATTCTCCTAGCAAATTCATGAAAGGTTTGTTTTCCAACATATTACCCAGCACTAGACTTTTTATAGAATGGCAAACAATATTTTTAAGGTGTATTGTGCTACAGATTTCATACAATTTCTATCAAAATCTCACTGATGTTTTTTGAAGAAATAGAAATATGCATTTTAAAATTCATATGGAATCTTAAGGGCACTTCATAATTTCAAAGCTTACTTCAAAGCTACCATAATCAAAACAGTGTGGTAATGACATAAAGACAGATACATAATCAAGGAAATAGAATAGAGGACTCAAAAAGAAACCCTCACATATATACTGAAATAATTTTTGACAAGAATGCCAAGACTATTCAATGGGAAAAGGAGAACTGTTGCAACGTATTGTGCTGAGAAAAGTAGATATCCACAAGCAAAAGAGTGAAATTGGACCCTTATCTTACACCATATGCAAAAATTAGCTTAAAGTAGATTAAAGACCTAAAAATAAGTGCTAAGCTATAAAACTCTTAGAAGAAAACATATGACAATGTTTTCTTTTCTTTTTTTTCTTTTTTTTTTTAAAGAGTCACATTTATTGCAATCCGGGACTATGAGGGGGCATTCCCAAATCTCATAGCCCTAGGATGGTGGCAAAACCAGACTTATATAGGCAAAAATCACAAAGGTATTGATTACATCCCAGGGTTTGGAATGTGGCACCTGGCTCCCCCCCCAAAAAAATAACACAGATTACAGAAGCAGATTTAAGCATGTTAATTACAGTTTCGGGTCTCGGGGTCACTGAATTGACAGAAGTACATTATCTAGAGCCCTTGGGTAACCTGGGTTAAACTTAGGCATGTTATCTAAATTACAGTTTTGGGTCTCCGGATCACTGAGTTGTCAGGACAATTTAGAGTAATTGTGCTGTCCTGTGGGGGGCTGTTTCTCTCTCTTCCATGTCCCGCATGGAAAAGGAAACAGTCCATTTGCTGAGTGGAGGAGCTGGGGATTAAGAAATTAAAGAAAGACCAGGATGCAGAAATAGATTTTAAGCTGGGGCCAGGTGGGAGCCATCCTCTCTGATGGAGAGGCGGCAAAAAGCGGGCTGAGCCACACAGCAGGTTTATTTTAAAGGCCTAGATTTACATATCTAGTTCTGCCCCTGCCTGAGTAACATGTCCAGCCTTATTGGGGAAGCATGTTCCCAGGGCGTGGCTCTACCTATGCTCTGAGTTCAGTTGACAATAATTATACGAAAATGCCTAGGTGCCTCCCAGGCAGCCCTCTACATCTCCCCCGTTTTTGTTTTTTAAGCTACTATAATAAAAGTAAAATTTTAAACATTAATAGTAGGGCTGTAGAATTAAAACAATTGCAAACAATGCAAATGCAAAAGCTAAACTACATACATGTTATCATTTTCAAAATTTGAACATTAAGAATAAAACTGGCTATTAAATAATAACAAAACAATGCCAATGCAAAACAACAATATGAGAAATCAGAACTATAAACATATTAACATTTTTGCTACTAAATGAAAAAAAGTCTATTTTGCTGCTGGTATATATTTACTCAGAGTCCTTGGACTTGGCTGCGCAAGACTTTGCAGAAGACTGGCAGCTAACAGATGCTAGCATGAGCAGGAACAATGTTGAAGAAGTAGCTTCAACTTCTTGCTTTTCCACAATCTGTTGCGCTTCAGTCGTTAACTTCTTCAGATGACTTCATATTGGCACAACAGTCCCTTGCATCTTTCAGTTTTCTTTTTCTTCACTTTTGCTGTCATTAGGGCAGTACTTAGTCCTTTTTAGTGAATGTCTGAGTCCATTGTGGTGACGGATGTAATGCTCTGGCACCCGAATTGGCTGCATTGCTCCTTCTTCCTTGCTCTTGGTCCTGGGCAACCTGCAGCGATGCACAGGTGCTGACTGCTATCATGACAAGGCGTCTTCACCATCTCCATCTCTGAACTGTCTTTCCTGTCTTTGTGGCTGGAGCAATCTGGTCAGTTGGGATCTGTTGTTGCAGGAATCCACATGGCCTGGGAGCTGTTCTTCTTATTCCTTTGAATTTGTGTGCACACGCTTCTGGGAGTGACCCCCTCGCTTTCTTCTCTTGCCTCCGTACTCAGTCCCTGTTGGGGGGCGCCAAATGTGGGGGGCTGTTTCTCTCTCTTCCATGTCCCACATGGAAAAGGAAACAGTCCATTTGCTGAGTGGAGGAGCTGGGGATTAAGAAATTAAAGAAAGACCAGGATGCAGAAATAGATTTTAAGCTGGGGCCAGGTGGGCGCCATCCTCTCTGATGGAGAGGCGGCAAAA